GTCCTAAAGCCTAAAAAACCCAAATTAATGCAAAGCATATGGATAATTGTTTCCGTCACTGTAGAACGGAGTCTGGCCTGAGTGAACAAAGAGAGATGGGTCAGCAAAGGACGGAAAGAACTAAAGATATGCTAGTGTAGCACGCAGCATGTCGTGCCACTCTCGGGGCGCCTGTCGCAGACCGTAAACCAGGCGCTGGAAGAACCATTGGGTCCCATGAGGGAAAGAGCCAGAGAAGCCTAGCGGACAACGCATGTAGATCTGCTCGTGCAGACTGCCCCAGAGTAATGAAGTGGAGAAGTCCAGTGAGTGAAGCCTGTAGTCGAGCTGTGCTGCAATGTGAAGCAACGCTCGAACAGTGGTCATCTTTGGGGTCGGGACGATGATCTGAACAAAGTCAACGCCCTCGCGCTAACTAAAGCCTCTAGCAAAGTAGCGTGCCTTGAACATCGGCGGCTCTCCAGGAGGGTGCTTCACCTTGAAGAGCCACCGGTCATCGATTACGTTCACCCTTGGTGGGGGAATTGCGTTGACGTAGGTGTCGGTGGATCTCTAAGATGCCATCTCTGCGTCCATAGCAACTATCCACTTAGAGGCCCAGGGTCCCGAAGTCGCCTCAGCGTACGTGCGAGGGGTCGGGATATCAAGAGCATCTGGGTCATCCTTAGGAGCTAGCAGCAAGGAGCAGAGATGAGGAGTGGCCTCGAACAGGAAAGCTAGCTCGTAATGCATGTCCTCTAGGACGTCACTGCCAAGGGCAGGTGCACTCATGACGGATGGAGGACGGGCAGGGTCAGAGACCAGAGCAGTGGCGTAGTCAAGGCAGCGGGTAGAAGCAAACTCAACGACGGAGCGACATAGCCGAGAGAGTGGAGACATGAACAAAGGGGTCGGTAACGAGAGAGGCTAGGACACGAAGAACAAGAGGGCGAGCAGCACAAAGGAAGTTAGAGAAAGGAGACGGGGAGACAGCGAGAGACAGCGGAGGAGGCGACGTGAGAAGAGGAGGAGGGGGAGCACGAGACGCATGAGAATAGAGAGACATAGGGTGAACACTTTGAGCGGGAGAGACGGAACAACCACGAGAGGGGCAGTGAGACCCCAACGAGAGGGGGGAGTAGGGTCAGGAGACAACGAAGGAGACGCAGGAGGAGAACGAGGGGGGAAACGAGCTAGGGAGGAGTCCGGCGGAGGGAACACGGGGCCGTAGATAGGAGGAGGAGGCGGCGCTAGGGGAGCCTCGGGCGGTCAATCAGGAGAGGGAAGACTGAGGAGCTGAAGGGCGGAAGTTGGCAGCGACTGCCGCTGCTGCGGCTCCTGTTGCTGCTTCGCACCCATACCATGACCACATCTACCCCCAATACTCGCCTCGACAACACTTCCAGGACCAGCACCCCCAGGACTAGCACCCCCAGAAATAGAACCCTCTCCAACACCTGTGCCGGGACTTGCCACGACTGCACTCCCAGGACTAGCGCCCCCAGAATGAGCATCCCCTGTAGAACCAGCACCCAAAGAGCCAACACCCACATAGCCAACGGACCCATGCTGCTGCGGTGGCGACTGCTGATGCGGCAGTGGCTGCCACTGCTGCTGCTGCGGCGATGGAGGAGTTACCGTGGCCGATGGTGCAGGAACCGCAGAAACAGGCGGCGGACACCGAGCGTTAGGCCCCCGGAGTTAGCAGACTACTCCGCTGGGCCAACCGAAGAAAGGGGAGTGACGTGCAATCCTCCAAACTAGGCAGGATGGGGAGCAGGAGCTACGGGGGGAGTGGGAGCAAGGAACAGGGTTAGGGTAACCAGGAGACTTTGGTCGGGAAAATGGGTGTAGAAGGAGACAGACTCGTCAAAGGCGACGTCACGCGAGCGAAAGAACCGATAAGACGACGGGTGGTAAAATTCCCAGTCAAACACGCCAAGGAGGAAACCAAGGAATACACAAGGGACGGTGCAAGTAGTGAGCTTGTCCACACGAGAGTCGCGGACGTGGGCTAGGCAGTCCGAGACGTGAAACGCAGACACGTCACAAGGGAACCCAGTCCAGCAGAGGGTCAGCGAAACCTGCAGCTGTTGGGAGCACGGCCACAGGTTAAGCTGATGAGCGGCGTAGCGAACTGTGAATGACCATAAAAAATGGGGTGCACCGGCACGGATCATGGAGGTACGAGCCACCTTCATGACCAAACCGATGCGACGCTCAGTGATCTCATTCTGGTGTGGAGAGTCTAGCACGGTGTACGTCTGGGTAATGCCCTCCGCACGACAGAACTGGCCAAGGCAACCGGAGGCGAACTCACCACCACGGTCAGAGTGAAGGTGCAGCACTGGCTGGGCGAGGTTGACTCGTGTAGCTACAAGTCATGGGGTAAGAACGTCAGGCACGTCGCCCGTTTAGATGCCCGGAAGTGTGGTGGAGCTACGTGCAACTATCGGACCAGACAAGGGGTCAGCCAGGGCAATTTCTGCAAGGGCAGAAAGCGGCGTGAGCGTGGTGTGGTTGCGAAAGAAGCAGGCGGACGCACCATAGTCCAGTGTGAAGGAGAGCGCGACGGTAGCGGAAGCTGGCGGGGGCACTAGTGTAGAGCCAAGGCTAACTAAGTCAGGAGGTCCTACCCCTAACGCAACAGGGGAGCCTAGACTACACACAGCAGATACACTTAAAGTAAGCAGCACAAAGTAATAAGGTCCGGTCACACTAGAGTCATCAGCATACATGACATATAGAGCAGAGCGAATGTGATCCGTATCCATCTCAAAAACTGGCACACGGCGACGTACCAGGTTGTGCCAGTCTGGAAGGTCCGGCTCGGGCCCGACATGGAGGCGGAAGAGGTCGTCGAGGCGGCGGAAGTAGCGGGTGGCAGTGTGACCGGGGCGTTCACACACGGTGCCGCGACTGGGACCAGTCTAAAGCTGGTACTGGCAAGTCACCGCACTGGAGCCACCACCCGACGTCGAGCTGTGAGGGCCACCTGCGCGGCCACCACCATCAAAGCCACATGCCCACCACGGCGGCAGGCCCCCCTACTGCTGCTGCTGCTGCGGCTGCGGCTGTTGCTGGGACTGCTGCTGCTGCTGCTCTGGGGCGTCATCCCCCACCCTCTCGTCTCCACTCCCGCCACCGCCATCCTCTCCGCCACCCTCACCACCACCAGCCCCCTTCCCTCCCTTACGCTGCCTCTTGGGGTGTCGGGGGGCTCTACCCTGACGCGGCTGCGCTGAGGCCGCCTTGGCGGTCGCAGCGACAGGGACTATCTCAGCGATAACAACATAGATGTCAGAGTAAGTGCACTAGGAGGGAGCACAACCCTGGAAGATAGGGACCAACGCAGTACCGCTAGATTGAGCAATAGTGTGCTGGCAGGTGTCTATCGCCGACAGGGTGGCGACGAAGTCCCTAAGGGTGAGGTCAGCGAGGTGAAGACTGAGGAAGGTGTCGCGGGCAGTGGCTAGGCAATCAAGGAGGCACGTGGCTAAGAAATATAGCGTAGCACCGAGGGGGGAAGGAAGTACAATGAACTAATCTCAGTGCTAGCAGCGCGGAAGGTAGTCTCAAAGGCGCGCAGGTGAGTGGCTAGATCAACGACAGTTGGAAAGGATACGAGATCAGGGAAGAGTAGGGGCATGAGGAGATGGCCAGCAGAGGCGGAGGAGGGAGTGGAATAGCGTGCAATGACTTCATCTTGGTACTCCTTCGTAGTCTCTACGGCCTGAAAGCGGGGACGCTCGGACAGGGGTAGGGCGTAACCGATAGTAAGCTGCGCAACGATGTCACGCGACTCCCATACAGAGTGGGCGAGCTCAGCAGCAGTGAAAGCCTTATGCTTAGTAGGCGTGGGGGCATAAGCGAGGGCAGTGGGTGAGGGCGGGCAAGGCAGCTTACCCTCGACGTGGACGGCCAGAGACTGGCCGTCCTGGTGCTGACCCTTCAGCTGGCGGTGCAGGTCGGCGAACCACGCGTCAAAGTCAACAGCCCGATGCTCCGCGTTCAGGTGAAGAATGGCGTCCGCCATCACGTATAGCTGCAGCAGCTGGAGAGCTTAGGCGGAGGAGGAGCAGGGGGCAGGCGGGTGTGGTGGAGAACGGTGGAGAGCGGAGGGGTGCGGTGGGGTGCCAAGGGGTGCATTGGGGTGGGGTGGAGTGCGGTGGAGTGCGGTAGAGTGCGGTGAAGCCGCAACAGAGAAGACAGCTGGCGGGAGCACCTATGCAGAGGAGAAACCAGGGGCGGCGTCAAGCTGGGGCCGGTAGTGAGTAGAGGCCGGCTGTGAGCAGGGGCCGACGCGACGAGCTGAGATAGCGCGGCGAGCCGAAGCCGATGCAGCTAGCTGGGGCGGCGCGGCAAGCTGGGGCCGGCGGCGAGCTGGGGCTGGCGGCGAGTTGGGGGCCGCGGGGAGCTGGGACCGGCGGCGAGGTATGGGCCGGCGGCGAACCGGGGCCGACGGCAAGCAGAGGGGGCCGCGGCAAGCTGGGGCCAGCGGCGAGCAGGGGGGCGCGCAGCGAGCGGGGGCCGACGACGAGCTGGTGGCGGCACGGCGAGCTGGGGCTGGCGGCGTAGCTGGTGGCCGCGCGGCTAGCTGGGGCCGTCGCGGAGAGATAGGGCGGCGCGGCGAGACAGGGCCGATGCGGCGGGCTAGGGGCCAGCGCGGCGAGCTAGGGGCCAGCATGGCGGGCTAAGGGCCAGCGCGTCTCAGCGAGCTAGGGCCAGCGCGGCGCGAAGGGCTAGGGCAGGCGTGGCAAGCTAGGGCGGAGCGCTCTATGGTAGGCTAGGGCGGAAGCATGGATGGGTGGGTCCTACCTAGCGTGATACCATCTTAGAGTAGCGAAGTGACTAGTACAACGAGATACAGGGGACATATAGGGTTAGTGTTGTACCCTCTAAGAACACAAACCTACCTAGCCTACAACTTCTACATATAAAAACATGTATAAGTTGACACCATCATGACCGCAATATTGCAGCCACGTACTTCATAATCTCAGAGTAGAAAGTTGACTAGAATGAGGCATACATGTTGATTTTGTTCAAGTGGTTGTACCCTCTAAGAGCATGCACCTATCTAGCCTATTATAACATATACAAATATGTTTGACACATAACACACGCCCCAAAACTACATCTTCATTATGTATGCACAATGCCTAGTCCTCCTAGGCTAACAAGCCTGACAGCATGGCCTGATTCCTCTACTACCGAACACCTACTCCAGATGACCCAAAGTAACAATCAAATCACGCAATATGAGATTAGGGGCGAGCTCTTTGTGCTTGAGGGGGAGGTGGGTAGCAGGGGAGGTGTCATGTGTTGCGAGCCATGCCTCTATCGCCTCCCTCTCATATGTCACCCCGTCTGCTGCCACCACTGGATCCCGCAGCCGTTGCTATTGGTGGACGGAGGGGGGAGGGAGGGGAAGGGGAGATGGAGGGGATGAAAGATTTGCACGTACGTTAGAAGAAAACGAGGAAGCAAGAGTTAGAAAAAGAAGGGGGAAAGCGGAGAGGAGGGAGGAAGAGAAGGGGGGACGGGAAAAGGGGAGGGAGAGGGAGTGGGGGTCGAGGGGGGAGGAGCCTACATGAGACAGTGGGCAGAAACGACTCTCCAGCTGCTCCTCCTGCTGGGCCTTCACCTCCTGCCCCTCCTTGGCCACAGCAGCCAGGGTCGGGTGCAATCCGTTTCCAGAACAAGGAGCTTGCAACTCGCAACTTACACATGAGAGAGAGGTCTATTTTTGAGGCGCCTAAAAAAAAAGCAACTCGCAACTTACATGAGAGAGGGGGCAGATGAATCGGCTTTCTAGCTGCTCTTCTTGGCGTGCCTTCACCTCCTGCCCCTCCTTGGCAACTGCAGCCAGGGTCGGATGCACCACTGCCTCCAGGTCCGGCCGATCCACACCGCGCCGCTCCACGCACTGTAGCGCCACGCGCAGTGCCCGGGCAGCTAAATCTCTCGGCCACCTGCCCGCCCGCTTGTCGAGCCGCTCAGCGAAAAAAGGCACGGCAATATCTAGGTTGCGAGACTTGAGAGAGGTACGGGAAGAGGAGGAAGAGGAGTGAGAAGTTGACGAAGATGAGGAGGAGGAAGGGGGTGGGCCAGTGCTTGAGACTTGCCCCAGCAGTCGGTGCACCTCCTTCACATCCTCTATCCCAGTGAACAGTAACAGCAGCACCACGCCCAGTGCAAACACGTCCGAAGCTGCAGTAACCTCCCCGGAAACCACCGCATCAGGGTCACAAAACCCGAAGGTGCCGCGCACCTTGAAAGTGATATCCAGCTGCCCCTGGGGGAAGAGACTCACGAAGCTGAGCCCTGCGAGGCCGGAATCGGAGAGCTTGCTGGTGCCGATAAGGCTTAAGAGGACGTTTTGGGGCTTGAGGTCTGAGTGGAGGATGGGGGGCGGTGGGAGTGGAGGGAGTGGAGCGCGGAGGAGATCTCAGAGGCGATGCGCAGGCGGTCGTGCCAGAGGAGGGGCGGGGGGAGAAGGGAGGGCGTAGGGGCGTTGGCTGGCTGGTGCTGCTGGCTCTGCTGTGTCCTTTGCTGCTGCTGTTGCACCAGTTGAGGGTGCAGTCTGCTCCACAGGGACCCCCCTCGCATGAGCTCATAGACCACAGAGAAGTCCTCTGGGCAGTACCCCACCATGGCCACCACGTGGGGATGCCGCACCCCCCCCAGCACCCCCACCTCCCTCCAAAACGCTGCTGCCTCTGACGACGTGGCAGCTGACGTGGCAGGAGGCCCATTACCCCTGGGCCCAATCCCCGGACCCTGCAGGCGTTTGATTGCCACGTGGCAGCCTAGCAGCTCTCCCCGGTACACGCTTCCCCCGGTGCTGCCCCCTGTGCTACAGCCCAGCAGGCGAGAAGGGCTGAAGCCGTCAGTTGCTGCCAGTAGCTGCTGCAGAGTAAACACCTCACATGGGTAGGTTGACAGGTCGGGTGGGGGGTTGGTTGATAGGTCCTGCTTGATACTGGCTGAGTGGTCCTGGGAATGAGTTGGATCGAGTTGCTCCTTTGAAAGCACCCGATTGCTGCTTGCGCTTCCTGGTGCTTCTGGTGCTTCTGCTGCTGCCGCTGCCGCTGCTGCTGCTGCTGCTGCTGCTGCCGCCGCTGCTGCTGCTGCTGCTCCATCTGTGCCTGACAGCAGCTCGGTACAGGTATTGCTACTGCTGCTGCTCCTGCTGGCATTGATAATGCTCGCATTGCTGCTGCCGCCACTGCTGCTTCGCGGCTTTAGCCTGGTGTCACGACCGCCACTGCTGCCACTGCTGCCGCTCCTGGGCACTTTCCGCCTGCCCATAGCAAGATCCACAGAGTCTCTCCTCTCATCATCATCATCTGCCATCCCTGCCAGCACTCCAAAAGCAAATTCCGCCTGGGATTCCCCCTCCTCCCAATCCTCCTCCTCCTCCTCCTCCCCCTCCTCATCCTCCTCCCATTCCTCCTCTTCCCCTGCGATCCCCCACTCTCCACTCGTCCCAGCAGCACCTACTACCTCGTGTACCCTGCTCATACTAACCCTCCCATTTGCTGCGCCATCTCCTGCTCTCACATCTCCTCTGCCTCCTGCTGCTGTAAAAAACGACTCTGCTGCTTTTGCAGTGATTGCATCTCTGCCCGCCGCACTTCCTGCAGCCCCTTGCTGCTGGCTTGCAGAAACCCAAGACTCGGACTCTGAACCTTCTCTTTTAAACACACGAGAAGGCACGACCAAGGGTGCTGTTTTCGACTCGTTGCTGCTGCTGCTCCTGCTGCTGGTAATGGTAGGTCGACGGCTGCTAGAGCTCCCATCAGCTCCATCCCCTAGAATGTCGTCCCACGCCAGCTTCACCTCCTGCTGTCCCATGCGGTGCACTGGAAACCTCTCCAGCGCCCTTCTCTGCTGCTGCGGCTGGTGCTGCTGCTGCTTCGCGCCTGGCATCTCCCCGGATTGTGTTCGCAGTAAAGCGGCTGCTGCTGAAGCTCCTCTTACTTCTGCTTGCCCCTGCTCTGGCCATGCCACCTTTGCTTCCATTCCGCTTCCAGCAGCAGCAGCAGCAGCATTTTTCCCAGATCCGTCGACCCTGCTGCTTCTGCTGTTGCTGTTGCCGTGGCTGTTGCTGCTGCTATCTCCGTTACGGTTGCCACCTGCACTAGCCGACTGAGGGAACGCAGCGGTAGCGTGCATTCGCGCATTGCGCGGGGGAGAAGGGTGAAGAGGAGAAGCAGCAGGGAGGGGCGGAGGGGGGTTGCCCCGAGAGGGTGAGCGGGGGATTGGGGACTTGACTGCTGCTCGGCCATCCAGCAGCAGGGGATGAATACCAGACGAGTTACTGGTACCAATAATACCACTGCTGTTATTGACTGTAATACCACTACCACTGCTGTTATTGACTGTAATACCACTACCACTGCTGTTATTGACTGTAAAACCACTACCACTGCTGCTACTGACTGCTGCATTACCACTAGCACTGCCTTCCCCATAGTCCTTGCTGCTTCGGCCGATCTTACTCTTGCTGTGCCTATACTTGGTGATATCGTACGCGCCGAGCGATCGTGTCCGTTGGTACACATCGCCCCCTGAATCCAACGGAGGGGGGGACGACTGGGGGCTGAGGGGCGGAGTGCTCTCCCCCCGACCAGTTCGGCTGCCACCACTAGACGACTTGGGGAACAGCATTCGTGCGGCTGCACGCCCCAGTCCCAAACCAGAGCTCAACCGAGCCCCTGAACCCGAACCAGAACCCGAGCCCGAACTTGAACCCGGGCCAGATGCTTTGGTTGTGTGACCAAGCCTAGGGGATGAACCCAAACTTGTGGCTGCCGAACCTGTGGCTCCTGAGGCTGTGGCTGCCGAGGCTGCAGCAGTGGTACGCGCGTGGGGGTCAGCACTGGCGCTAATGCTATCATTGGTGTTGGGAGTGGCACTACGACTGCTGATTCTCTCGCCACCACCATGCACACAGCTACTGTGATGATGATGCTGCTGCTGCTGATGATTCTGCTGCTGCTGATGCTGCTGCTGCTGCTGCTGATGATGATGATTCTGCTGCTGCTGCCTGTTGTTACGGCACATATCAGCAGCGTCGTAAGACTTGGATCGGTTGCAATGGACGGATGGAGCAGCAGCAGCTGAAGACGAGGAGGACGAGGAAAAGGAGGAGGACGAAGAGAGGGCTGGTGACTTGGTGCTGACGTGGCTGCTGCGGCTGCTGACTGCGTCCAGCTGGCGCTGCATGAGCTGTTCAAACACGTCATCCTCATCGTCGCCCTCGTCAGCATCCCCGCCAGAACCCCTATCGTCATTATCACTACCACCACCATCCCGCTTCACCTCCTTTTGCCCACCGCCAGCACCAGCACCAGCAGCAGCAGCAGCAGCGGGAGCGACCCCAGCAGCAGCAACCGCCCTTCTGCCACTGCTCTCCCAGCTTTCCCCACCCACACCCATCTCTCGGCCCCCAGTCTCCATAGCACTGCCCCCTATGCGCACAGGGAGTGCATCCCAGGCAGATATTGCTGAGAAGGGATGCTCCGGGGAGAGCAGCTGCGACGGGGATAGGGGCAGCTCGCTCACACTCGCACTGCGGAAGTGGCTCCAAAACACCCGCCTCGCCTCCTGCCCACTCCCACCTGCCCCTGCCCCTGCTCCTGCTCGCTCCCTCCTTCCAAAACCCGTTGACCCCCCCCCTCCTCCTCCACCACCGCCACCGCCGCGACCACCGCGACCACCGCCACCACCGCCGCCGCCACCACCACCACCACCGCCACCGCTGCCGCCACCACCACCACCGGTCAAACCACCACCGTGAGCCCCATCACTCTCACTACCACCACTCCCAAAACTTCCACCACTACCTCCCAAACCACCCACCGCCTCCTCGCTTCCACCCGCTTTCCTGAGACCCCTCCCTGCTATGTCCCTGCCTCCCTCGCTTTCCTTATTTGACTCAAAAGCACCCCCCTTCCCTGCGGCTCTCCCTGCTACCTCCTCGTCCCTGGGAGTGGTGGGCGCTGACGCCCCAGACGCACCAGAGGCACCATCCAAAGAAAAGGCCCAGTCGTCAGAGGAGAACAGTCGCGGGGTGGTGGGGTTATCGCGCACACTCATGGGTCCGAACCGGCCGGCGGTGGCACGCGGCGAGGGGGACCTTCCCCCCGCCTGCTGCTCCTGCTGCTGATGGTCAACGAGGGGGTGGCTTTGGTGGTTGTTGCGGCCACGTGGCACCAGCACCACCCCCGTGTCTTCCTCCTTCTCCACCTCTCCCTCATCCGTGTCCTTTGAGATGGATAGGCGGCGGGGGCGCAAGGGAGGGCAGGAGGGCGAGAAGAGAGCGGTGGGGTGCGGTGAAGGCAGGTGCAGGGAGGAGCTCCGCTGATGGTGCCCTGCCCGCCTAGGCTCTGGTACTCCCCCTGCTGCACCTGACAGTGCACCTGACGCGGCACCTGGCGTTCCACCTGACGCTGCTGCACCTCTCCTCTTGGCTTTAACCCATTCGTCCCCCAGCTCTGCCAGCGCATCAGCCCCATCGTCTTGCCCCATTGCCCCCTCCTCTGAGGAACGCTGTACCCTGTCCAGCACTTGTTCCCCCTCACTTTCCCCCCCCTGGCTCTGCTCCGCCTGATCCCGTTTCCCCCACCCATCCACGTCTTGGCTGGACGGCACAATCACCCTCAGTCTACCCCCCTGATGCTTGCTCTCAGGAATCTCACCCGTCCTTCTCTCTCCCCCCCCTCTGCTGCCAAGTCCGCCCCGGCCACCTCTACCCGCATCGCTGCCACCAACAGCAGCACCAGCGCCACCAACAGTACTGCCAGCACCACCACTAGAGCCAACCACAGCAGCAGCCGCAGTAGCAGCACCAGCACCAGCAGGCCTCCTTTCTCGAGCCCCACTTCCCCCCGGCAAAGCTGCACCTGAGGAAACCGAGCGAGGAAACCCCCTGCCCCCACCCCTGCCCCTACCCCGTCCCCTCCCATCACCACCCATGGCAGTAGCACCAGTAGCAGCAGAACCTGCGGTGCTTGTAGGGGTGGGGGGACCGTCAATCCCTGCCTGGGAGCGCTTGGAGCGGCTGAGCGTGCGACTCCGAAGGGGGGCCTTGGGATGCACGCCTATCTCTGCCAGCTTCCGGGACCCCTGGGAGATCACAAGCAGGCACCCGTCCGGCAAGTTGGTCTCGTAGTAGGCTGTTGGTGCGTTGTTCAGAGCCTTGGACCACAGGAATTTCCTGTACAGGTGGAAAACCAGGGGGAGGGGGGGGGGGGGGGGGGGGTGCGGTGAGAGGTGCGGATGCAGTGGTCTCGTAGTGGGCCGTCGGTGCGTTGTTCAGATCCTTGGACCACAGGGACTTCCTGCGGGAGTGGAGAGAGGAGGGAGGTGTTTGTGCATTATGGTAGGTCTGTCTTCTGTGGACTTGGTTCTGTGCACATGCTGCATGAAGTACATGAGCGCACATGCTTCATGCCGTGGACTTCATTCTGTCTGGTACGCTGCAGCATGTGCACTCTTCTGAGGCGCCTCAAAAGCATTTGCCCATACCCAACTCCTTTCTACTCCTCCGTCCTTCACACTCACCTACATTCCCTGATCTTGTAGCCTTGGGCGGCAGGGAATCGCTTGATTTGACTGCGTCACAGAGGGCCTTCCAACAAGCACCCTGCGACTGCTGCTACAAAAACTAGAAAAAGCACAAAAGGCGGGCCGCGGGCGTATTCTCAAGCCTCGCACATGTGCACGCACTCACTCACACACGCACGCACTCACCGTCTGACCCCGATGTAGACTCGGGACGCGGAGAAGCGCTTGACGGCATCGCAGAGGGACTTCTCGTGGTCGCTGCTGCGCTCCAGATGCATCACTGCCCTTACCTAGGGGAGAGCAGGGGTAGTTGGGGGGGGGGAGGGGGGAGGTGGGACCAGTCAGGCAGAAGGGCTGCGTTGACTCGAGGAGGTAATTTATGACTTTCAAGAATGACCGCAGAGGGCCTTCTCGTGGTTGTGCCGCGCTCCAGATGCATCACTGCCCGCACCTGCGCGGATGGGGAGGGGTTGAAGGAGGGGTAAAGGGATACGTGGGGTGAAACACCCCTCTTTGCACCTCAGCACTGTGCGTCGCAGAGGGCCTTCTATGGTCGCTGCTGCGCTCCAGATGCATCACTGCGCGCACCTGGGGGAGGGAGGGTTCAAGAGAGGTGTGAAGGGCATACGTGGGGTGACGCACCGCACTCCTCAGCACTGTGCGTCGCAGAGGGGCTTCTCGTGGTCGCTGCTGTGCATCACTGCGTGCACCTGGGCGGAGGGGAGGGGACCAGGTAGGCAGAAGGGGTGGGTTGTCAGAGGGGGAGGGGGAAGGGCATTGCAAGGGTCATATTCCATAAGCGTTTAGCCCCCCCTCGTGGAATATGGAATGCCATGCATTGCGTTACGGAATCATCACCGCTCGCAGTTGTTCGGGTTCAGGGTGCACGTTTTCCAGCTGCTGTTTATGTGTGATCCCCCCATGCTGAATGTGTGCGTCCCGTCCCTTACCCCTTCTCCCTCCCTCGTCGATGTGTTCCTCACCTGTCAACTGCATGCGTCACATGTCGACTGCTCATCCCTCACCCATCACACTATGCGGCTCTCACCTGTCGGCTGTGCGCCAGGGCCTGCAGCGGCTGCAGCATCTTGCGAATCGCAGCCTCCTCTGCCTCGTGTGTTCCTTACATGTTAAACGCGTCTCTTACCTGCCTGCTGTGCGCGACTCACCTGCCTGCTGTGCGCGACTCACCTGCCTGCTGTGCGCCAGGGCCTGCAGCGGCTGCAGCATCTTGCGAATGACGGCCTCCTCTGCTTCCGCTAGCCTCACTGCCTCGTCCATCGTCATGGAGTGACGCACCATGGGGGCTGGGAGGGGGGAGGGGGAGGAGGAGGAGGGGGAGGGGGAGGGGGAGGGGAGGGGGAGGGGGAGGGGGAGAGAGAGACATGGATGGGAGAGACAAGCATGGGTGCGCATATGTGCTGCTGTGAAGGCGCCATAATTACGGCCTCCTCGGCTCCTGCTAGCCTCACTGCCTCGTCCATGGTCATCGAGTGCCGCACCATGGGGGCTGGGAGGGGGGAGGGGGAGAGAGACATGCATGGGAGGGGGAGAGAGACATGCATGGGAGGGGGAGAGAGACATGCATGGGAGGGGGAGAGAGACATGCATGGGAGGGGGAGAGAGACATGCATGGGAGGGGGAGAGAGACATGCAAGGGAGGGGGAGAGAGACATGCATGGGAGGGGGAGAGAGACATGCATGGGAGGGGGAGAGAGACATGCATGGGAGGGGGAGAGAGTCATGCATGGTACGAGAGAGCATGCGTGAGAGGAAGTGTGCTGACACGAATGCCCCACCCACGGGGCTGCAGCAACTTGCAAATGACGGCCTCCTGCCCCTCTGCTAGTCCATTGTCCCTCACCCATCGCACTGCCTCGTCCATTGTCATGGAGCGACGCACCATGGCGGCTGGGAGGAAGGAGGGGGAGAGGGAGGGGGACGGGGTGGGGGACGGGGAGGGGGAGGGGGAGGGGGAGGGGGCGGGGGAGGGGGAGGGGGAGGGGGAGGGGGAGGGGGAGGGGGAGAGAGAGACATGGATGGGAGAGTCAAGCATGGGTGCGCACATGTGCTGCTGTGAAGGCGCCATAATTACGGCCTTCTCGGCTCCTGCTAGCCTCACCACTTGGTCCATTGTCATCGATCGACGCACCATGGGGGCTGAGATCGGGGAGAGGGAGAGAGACATGGATGGTGGTGTGTGTACGGATGTTATGCACGCACGCATAAATGCACGCACGCACGGATGCACGCACGCGTGGATGCACGCACGCGCGGATGCACGCCGGTGCACCCATGAGCGCGCACAGCATACGCATAAATGCAGACACGCGAATGCACAGGCATGCATATACGAACGCAATCGGCCGCACGCAGATGCAAGTAGGCAAATACGCGAGCAAGCACACATAATGTGTGCAAGCGAAGTCGCTCGCTCGCATGCGATGATCACACGCTCATTCGCACGGTGCTGCCCGCATCGACATGAGAAATAGGTCGGCGGGCAAACGACATTGGCCACGTACGTTCCTAAGTCACATGCACGTTTGCGCGGTGCTGCAAGCAAGCATCGACCTGGACCTGGAAATAGGTCGGCGATACGAAGCTCGAGTAAAGCACATTCGCGCATGCTCGTAGTAATCTTATCGCGTACATGGAGGTGCAGTCGTGTCGTGCATGACGGCGACTAGAATAAACACGGGAAGCTCCGTGTCTGCTCCTGCGACTTCCGACGACCCGCCGTGCGACGACCCCTGCGACGACCCGGGCGACTTTCTTAAGCTCTCCGCGTCGGCGAGGGCGACGGCGAGAGTGCTGCGACTGACGTCGAGCTGCGGAGTCACCTCGAGCACCCATTGCAGCCGCTGCTGCTCGACCGGCTCGGCCTGGCCTCGCGGGCTCGGCTCCTGCGACCACTTCCAACTCATCCTAGCGCCGTCGGTTCAGCTGGAATAAGCGCTTGAAAGAATAACTACGACTAGTTCAACTGGAGCTTAGTATCTTGCGACATGCGGAGAAGAGGCTCAAGGTTTGGCGAGGGGAGCTGGTGCACCTCATTCTAACACACAGGGATGGACGACAACTAGACTGACTGAAAAAGGGCAGACCAGAGACTAGCATGCTGCTGATGAGGGAACAGCTGGAAGAGTGTGGAATGCTGCTGCTACTAGGCCTGACCTGGAGCCTCGTTGACCATTGACCATCTTGGTTCAGATTCTGAACTGAGGGAGTGTACATTTTTTCCACCCTTACGTCCGTAGCTATGCTGTCACAAATCACCGTTAATGTAGAAACTGCAGTTCCTCACAGGCACTATCACCTACCTTACAGTCCGGTTATGTGGGTCGAATTTGTACTCATGACTGACCCTTGAACGGCGGGCCACGTCTGTGGTCGAGAGAACTAGGCCAGCTCAGCATATACAAATCATACTCGGACAGAGCAAGCTCCAAGATTGTTGGAATTTGCTCTGTTCGAGGGGGCTTGTGCGACGCAGGCAGAGTTGTGCTAAGTTGAGTTGCGGTGCTATCTGTTGTATACTGTACAAGGTCGGTGCCCTTAGCGTATGCTGCGACCAGAAGTCGCAGGCATTTTTGCAGCATACGCAGCAGAACGAAAACCACTCAACAGATCAGAAACAAGAAACTCCAGTTACTTGCGAAAGCATATTAAGCTGTAATTGGCCTATATCCCATCGCTAAAGTCATGAAGCACATTGAAATGTGAAATTGATCTAGGGAATGCAGAATACTGACTGAACTCATGGAGTATTTCTAGGACGAAGCCTCACAGTCCATCGCGCCAGAATTATGTGGTTATGCTTACTGTGCAAAATTCTGACTGAACTGGATGTCGTGCGGATAGGTTCGTCACGATTCTGATGCGAGGTCGAGTCCGATACGAACTGTGGAACAACCTGTTCCTAACTTTGCCCCTTTGAGCACTGCTTCGTCAAATTTCATGTTAGGGGGATGCGCGGATTCGCTGGTTCCAACTCCGGTTCCTAGCCTTTCTGGTTTGGAAACAACAAATGGAATCAGCCGGCTTCCTTCGATTGGTTTCCGGGTAATGTCAGCATCGATTAGGGATCATGTGGATCAGTTTTGCATCAATGGGTCGGGAAGGGGGGCATGTGCAGGTCGTAGAGATCACCGACCAATGGGATGTGGTCTTGACCATATTTATGTGAATGTCACGGTTTGCGACTATTATTGTATACGCTTATACGATTGGTGGAACATCATACACACTGCGTACGTGGGAGTTGCACATACCAAATTGTTGCCCTGTGCAAATGTTTTCCTTAGGGGTCGTTGCACTAGTCGGGTCTGACTTGTGCACCATAATGTCTCATTTGCCCCAGAGAAACTGGTTCCAGGCTTTAGGCCGCCAAATTCTCAAAATCTCGAGAGACTGAAAGGTAGAAGAAGTGTACCAAGTTGCATCGCACTTCAATCTGTATGCACACACTACTGTCGACTGCAGGCAACCGAGATCAACTGGAAACAAATACAAACGATGTCCGCAAAGTGCCCTGCCCAAAAAAAATCCCAATTGCACCCCCTCGCCCAATAGCAGAAGTTTACGGGCAGTATCCGTTTCGAGAGAGTCCCCCGCGCCGGCTACTGTGCTGAGTCATCATGACAGCGGGGATGAACATGCGGACAGCGACGAAGCAGTTGCAGCCTTCTGGTTTTCGCCACATATTTTCGGACGGCGTCGCGAGGGCGGTTCGTCCGGACCCAAATGACATTTCGCGTTTTTTCGCGAAGCCGCGAAGGACACGAGCGCAATGGAAATCTACGGAACACCGCAAACGGGAAAGGCCTCGATGACTCAGCATAGCATGACCCCTTGGCAACTGACTGAACTAGAGCCCTATTCGGTCGAAACAACTGCCACTTATCGAAGCCGCACAAATTGTGAGCAGATGTCATGTTCGTGACCTATTGTTTGAGAAAATTAAACAGCACTCGGGGTTGTTTCTGATCGTCGCAGTGCAAAACGGCGTAACCGTGGTTACATACGCAATCTGAACTCTACCACCCAACCTTCCCCTATTGCGACAAAAAAGTTACCAACGAGCTCACCCTGAATCCCTCGCTTCTAGCAGCGAAAGCCGGCGAAATACCAAATCGACAGAAGCCCCCGCGGCTCGAAAAAGTGGCGTTCCTCTCTCGGGCTCAGGCTGTACCACTGGTCTGCGCGGCTTCAGGTCAGGCCTAGCAGCTTCCCCACCCTCTTCAGTACAGTTACGGTTGCCCAGCTGACATGGAGGGCAGACGACCGAATCAAGCCAGACCCTTCGGCAAAGTTAACGAGCTGTGCGAAAGCTGGCGAGACGTCTCGGACCGTCTATTCCAGCAATGCGAATCTCAAGACGAAGATTGACGAGGGCAGAACCTGCTGGATGGTGCTCCCCTGCTGGAAGTCTGGATCAGATCGGAGCTATCGGCGTCCAGCGCAAGAACCGTCCGATCTTCCTTGACGACAATTGAGGTACAGATTCAGGGCGTGGAACATACGGTTCGAACTCTCAAGTTCGAACTTCCACCACTTCACATCCATTTAAAATTTTCCAGAACTCAACTGAAACTTACCAAACCGTATTCCACCTCGCTCGAAGATCGAACTGTATGTTCCACACCCTCACATTGTACCAACGAAAATGCTTGAATCGGGGATCCAACTGTCACGGGTCCCGTTACTAAATCCATCATCCACTACACCAGACAGAATAGTGAGACCGCTTGAATACAAAAAGCTGATGATGTTTGGCTTTCGGAGTATGTCATTGCTCCCTCAAAGGAGGTGTAGCTAGTCATGTCCACTTGAAAGAGAAGATGCCCTTATACTTCTTCCCTTATTTTCATCCTCCTCTTCAGCCTCCTCATCCTGCCTTGCCTCCAAGAACTCTGAAACAACAAAATCCACATTGAGTTGAAGGAGCAAACGGGGAAAGAAGTGTTCAACATCATACTATACAAAACGTGTTGGGTGGAGAAGTGACACCAACAAATCGAAGGAGACTCTACCTTGCTTGATCAAGTAGTTTTCCAGTTCAGACGTTGAGAAGTTGTCACGATTTCGAAACGCCTCAAACCCAATTATTCTATGGCAAGCAACAGCATCCCTGCATGTGATGACACACAAAAGATTAGCACATCTCGATTGTCATCACGCTGGGATCTCCCATGAGTGCTGTCTCGACCTCCAGCCCCTACATAACACCCATTCCTGTCCCACTCATTGCTGTTGGCACAGCTGAATAAACATGCAGGCCATACACGTACGAACCTGAATAGAATCATGCACGGTAGAACTTTGACGTTTAGTCTGGACACAAAAAAAGGGCATTTCTGTTGCGGACGTGAAAAGTACAGGAGGAATGCAAGAAGGACATGGGGGACGGTTGGGGAAGCTGGAAGAAGGGAGATGAGGGAACAGTAGGAGACCGAAGGAATGTAGAGCAGGAAGAGGGGAAGCCATGGGTCTTTCGTTGCAAAGAGTGAAAGGCTACATGGATAGGTTGTGTTCGCTACTCTCGTGGACAATAAACTTGACAGTCTTCGGTTTAGTTATAGGAATTCACTTTAGACAAACGTGTGGGCCATTTATCAAGAGGCTTACCTCTGCGTCAATCTTCACAAATTTGGCCTCCAAGTGCTTCGGTGCCAGAATGGCTAAATGCTTGTCAACGATTCTGGCGTTGTCAATGCGTGCAGGAAAAAGAAGAAAACGACGATTAGATGCGAGAAGGTTGACCAGAGAGATCAATGCACCGAGGGTGTCATCACATACTTGCAACGAGGGAACTCGGCGTGATAGAAGTGGCAGAGGACGTATTCGCTCGACTTGACCTCTGGTAGAAACTCTTCCTCCGTGATCTGAAAAGGTGCCGAACGTCCATCAGTCATGTCAGTACCCTTGCTTTTCCCTGAATATCATTGTGTACGTTCGAGTTTTCTCACCTCCCGGTACTCCCCATGTCCCTTCTTCCGTAGGTTTTCACGCTTCCTGGACGCGGCCTGAGGGAACGACAATGGTGACAACAACAAAGACAGCTGTCAGCCTTCCTATGACGAAGGTCCGTAAAGTTGGTGAGGTACAACTGACGGAAGGAGTACTTGGTGTATTCTCACCATCATGGACTGTAGTCGTTCCGCATGAAGCTTTTCAAGCTCAGGGTCCTACAAGAGACGGGTAAAATGACAAAAAGTGCATGTTGGGAAGGAACCATGCTAGTGAATAGAGCTGGCCGTCGTATAAGTTTGGTATCGTCAGACGTTTAGTACGATGCATTCTACTGCTTACATCGGCAAGGTCGTCGAGATCGAAATCATCGTCGGCCGTTGCGGGAGCTGTCTTTTGGGATGATTGAATCTCCTGTATGCGTTGAGGACAGGAAACCAGACGCATAAACGATTTGTTGAGCACACCTGATTCCGCCCTAAGGATAAAAGATGCTAATGTTGAGCACACATGAAGGCGATGAGGTCGAAAACGAAGGCTCGGACGCATTTGTCACCTACTTTCTTGAGATCGCGTGCTGCTGCTGCAATAACGTTGCCGAAAGCAATATTTCCCAGGCGTGAAGCTACCTCTTTCGGATCTGTGCAATCCATGTTGCGTACACTATATACGGGTCTGCTTCAAAGCTTGATTCCTGTACTGCTATAAGAAACGACCACGAGCGGACAAAGCTAACAGTAAAGCTTAGTTTTTGAATTCAAGTCCTTAGCTTCGTTCAGGGAAGAACGGAACGAAAATGAAGGCAAGTGCTGAAGCAAGGAGTGTGAGAGGCGAATTAGGAGGTGGAGGACAAGGTTGCTGGGATCTGGGCAAGCTGTGAGCCTGTAGCGGTTTGGGAAAGGCTCTGACACAAACCAGACCTGCCAAAACGGCCAGGACACCTGGCGGCCAGCCAGAGGTGGAGCGCGAAAAAATTGCGAAGACTATGGTAACCAGGATGTTGCGCAATGCTTAAAGCGAGCGGACAGACCAAACTCAAGACTCCAAGGTTTGAGTTGTACTACGCACGAAAACAAATGCGACAGAAACACGGTAACCAAATACACATCCGAGGGGAGCGATTTTGAGATTGGGGGAGGTGACGTGCTATGCGACGCCGGCCCCAACCCAGCGACAGAACGAGCAAGGCTTTTCCCCCCGCCACACCACGATCCAAAGCTTTTGCTGTTTACCCTGTACTCAGTGGCTATAGCGCCTTCTCCGCCATCCTCGCTCGCGAACACGCTGCTCGTTATGAATTAATCAGAGTGATCACAGGTAGTGTAATAAAGGAGTCTTGATTCAAGAGTGTCGATACAAATCAGGGCCTAGGCATTCACAGGCACGAACAAAGCTAGCCGAGAACCACGCGAACAGGTTGGGGCGGTCCGGTTTGCGAAAGCTACAGAAGCGCCGCGCGTCTAGGTTTGGGTCCGCGAAGTGGTTCGGGACCGAAGAAGTTGGCCGGGCCTGGACTTCCGAGACTCGAGAACGTACGTGCTGTAGTCGAGCCTGATATCAAACCTAGAATTGAATAATGTGAGAGAGAGAGTACACAAACATATACCTAAATGTTGTACTCTCTAGAAGGTGACCCTATACAGTCTATACAAACATGATAACTACACATGTTTGACACACCCCCTGGACTGCATAGGGGAATGTTCTAGACAAGTAGCTCAGGGTGGCACTACTAGTCCAGCCTCTGAGACAAGGGTCTAAAAGACCAGTCAGAAGGAGTACAGACAAGGCAAGAACGAGTACAGGGCGGCACTACTAGTCCAACCACTGTGAGAGGACACAAGTCCAGTCCGAGTGTATACATATATATATATACGACAGTACAAAGTCAAGGCCCGAGTAAGTGAGAGACTACAGGAACCAGACCAAGCTGTAAACAGTGCCGCTGATGATCTTTAGGCGCAAGCGCCTTCGTAAAGATATCAGCTGTGTTGGCACCGGAGGCCAAGTGTACTACGCGAGCCTGGCGCCGCTGCTGTAGCTCGCGCAGGAGGAAGTACCGCAGCTGGATGTGCTTCGCTCTGCCCTCGAGTCGAGGCTCCTGACACAGGAGAATCATGGCCCTATTGTCAGCGTACAGGACCGGGGCAGAGCTAGGCCGCTCACCTAAGTCAGTGAGCAAGAAGGTCAGCCAGCGGAGCTCCTGTGCCGCCATGGCACCGGCGTAGATCTCAGCCTCACAGCTGGACTGGGCAACCGACGAGGAGCGGGTAGCTCTCCACGAGACAGCACCTGAGCCAAGGCTAAAGCAGTAGCCCTGGGAAGACCTGAGCGTCTCGGCGTCGTCTGCCCAAGAAGCGTCTGTGTGTCCAGTAAGGACCACTGGCCTGCGTCCGCCTAGCACTAACCCCATGCCCGATGTACTTGCAAGATAACGCAAAACCCTCTTAGCGGCAGACCAGTGCTGAGGTCGGTGTCTGCCTGTGGCCACAAAACGAGCCAGGATGCTGAGAGGGTATGCGAGATCTGGGCGAGTGCAAGTCATCAGGTACATGAGGCAACCCACTAGCTCAGCGTAAGGACCACTGGGATCTACCGACTCCTCACGAACTGGAGCGGAGAGTCTGTGGTCTAGAGGAAGAGGGGTGGGCTGTGCGGAGGAGAACTGAAGGCCGAACCTCTGAAGGACCTGGCGCACCAAGTGTGACTGAGTCAGGGTGATGGTGCGCGCGGCTCTGTCCCTGGAGATCTGCAAGCCAAGGTAACGGCGCAGCTCTCCAAGGTCAGTGCAGGTGTGTCTCTTCAGCAGCTCTGCCTTCACGGAGGCCAGTGCGTCCCTGTCAGCTGTGGCAAAGACCAGGTCGTCTACGTAGACGAGGATGTAGAACGGAGTCGAGCCAGCACGAACGAAGAGCGAGGGGTCTGCAGAGGACGGAAAGAACTGCAGGTCAGCAAGAGTAGCACGCAGCGTGTCGTGCCACTCACGAGGCGCCTGGCGCAGGCCGTAGACTGGGCGCCGCAGAAGCCACTGGGTCCCAGGGGGGAAGGTGCCAGTAAAGCCCTGAGGACGACGCAGGTAGACCTGCTCGTGAAGGCTGCCCTGAAGAAAGGCAGTGGAGAAGTCGAGGGAGTGAAGCTCGTAGTCACGCTGAGCCGCTACGTGTAGCAGAACCCGAAGAGTAGTCATCTTTGGGGTAGGAGCGAAAGTCTGAAAGAAGTCCACCCCCTCGCGCTGACTGAAGCCTCTAGCCACGTAACGCGCCTTGAATACAGGCGGCTCTCCAGGAGGGCGCTTCACCTTGAAAAGCCAACGGCCATCGACCACGTTCACCCCAGGTGGGGGAACTGCGTCGACGAAGGTGCCGGTGGATCTCCAAGATGCCATCTCCTGCTCCATGGCAGCTATCCACTGAGAGGCCCAAGGTCCCGAAACCGCCTCAGCGTAAGTACGAGGGGTCGGGATGTCAAAAGCGTCTGGGTCACCCTCAGGGACTAGCAGCATGGAACAGAGATGGGGAGCAGCCTCGGACAGGAAAGCAAGCTCGAACTGGCGGTCCTCCAGGACGTCACTGCCGAGGGCAGGAGCACCCCCGACAGACGGAGGACAGGCAGGGTCAGAGACCAGAGCGGAGGCGTAGACAAGGCGGCGGGTAGAGGCGAAGTCAGCGACCGCAGCGACAAGGGCGTCAAGACTCGACACTGGAACAGACGGGTCGGTAACGAGAGAGGCAAGGACCCGAGGAACAAGAGGACGAGCGGCACGAAAGTAGTCAGACAGAGGAGGAGACGCAACGACAAGAGAGGACGGAGGAGGAGACAGGAGGAGGGGAGGACGAGACGCGTGGGAGCGGAGCAACATAGGGTGAGTGCGCGGGACGGGGGAGACAGGACGAGCACGGGAGGGGCGGCGAGACCAGACATGAGAGGGCGGCGTCGGGTCAGGAGACAGAGGAGGGGACACGGGTGGGGAACGATGGGGAAAACGAGCCGGGGACGAGTCCGGCGGAGGGAACACAGGGCCGGAGACGGGAAGAGGGGGAGACGGCCAGGGAGGAACAGGCGCAGGGTCAGGGGACGGAAGGCCGAGCAGACGGAGGGCGGACACCGGCGGGGACTGCTGCTGCGGCGACACAACACCAACGCCAGGGCCACAAGCTGCGCGACGGCTACCTCCCGAACCCTCCACACCGGCACCCCCAGAAGGGACACCCCCAGAGCGCGAAACACCGCCAGCACCGGTACCACCCCCAGGCCCGCCGGGACAAGCCACGACAGGAGCCCCGGGACTAGTACCCACCTCAACTCCAGCACCCCCAGAGTCCACAAACAGCGGCAGCGACGACGGCGGCGGCGGCGGCGGCGGCTGCAGCGACGGCCTCGACGGCGGCGGCGGCGGAGACGACGGCTGCAGCAGCTGCGGCGACGGCGGCTGCGGAGGCGGTGGAGGAGGAGACACCGGGGGAGGGACAGACGGCGAGGACTGCGCCAAAGGACTACCAGAGTCAGAAGACTCGTCGACCGGAACGACCGACGGGAGGGGGGTGACGTGAGACACACCAGAGGGGGCCGGACGGGGGGGCGGGGGGGGGGGAGGGGCAGGGGCCACCAGGGAGGGAGGAACCAGGAACAGGGGGGGAGTAACCGGGGGACCACGGTGGGGAAAGCGGCGGAAGAAGGAGACGGACTCGTCAAAGGTGACGTCGCGAGAGTGAAAGAAACGGTGAGACGGCGGGTGGTAGAAGTGCCAGTCGGACGCGTCAAGGGGGAAACCGAGGAAGACGCAGGGGAGGGTGCGGGCAGTGAGCTTGTCCATGCCAGAGGCACGAACGTGAGCAAGGCAGCCCCAGACGTGGAACGCAGACGCGTCACCAGGGGACCCGGTCCACAGAAGGGTCGGCGAAACCTGCGGCCGATGGGGGTGCGGCCACAGGTTAAGCTGGTGAGCGGCGTAGCGCACGGCGAACGGCCACAGAAAATGGGGTGCACCGGCGTGGATCATGGAGGTGCGAGCCACCTCCATGACCAAACCGATGCGTCGCTCAGCGACCCCATTCTGCTGCGGGGAGTCCGGCAGGGTAAACGTCTGGGTGATGCCCTCCGCACGACAGAAGCGACCAAGGACACCTGAGGCGAACTCGCCACCCCGGTCGGAGTGGAGGCGCAAGGCAGGGAGACCGCGGTGGAGACGAGCAGAGACAAGCCAGGGGATGAGAACGTCAGGCACGTCGGCCTTCCGCTCCAGGGGAAAGACGGTGGTGTAACGTGTGAAGTCGTCGACAAGCACTAGGAAGAAGCGCTCGCGACGCGGCCCATGGACCGGGGCTGGGCCCCAGACGTCCATGTGCAGAGTCTGCAGGGGTGCGGTGGTAGGGGGAAAAGAGGAGGAGTGAGGGGCACGGCGCAGCCGGCCCTCGACACAAGGCGTGCACGGTGGGGCGGGGGATGAGGGAAACTCAGGGAACGAACCGGGGAGACCAAGGACGAGACCGTGCTGGGACATGTGACGCAGACGCGGGAGTGCAGGGTGACCAAGGCGGTGGTGCCAAAGGAGAGTCGGATGGGTGAGGGACCGACAGGAGCACGCAGCAGCAACCTGGGTGGACGCAGCTATCTGGGGGGAAGACCCAGCCGGGGACGTCGCGGTGTCAAGTGTGAACAGGCCGGACACCGGGTCCCGGGGGAAAGTGGTAAGGGGGGCACCAGTGGCGGCCTCGGTACAGACAGCATACAGCTCGTGACCAGGGAACGTAGTGGTGACGCCAAGGTCCTGGAGGCAGCCGACATCAACTAGGTTCCTGGAGAACGAGGGGAT